AAATTACTATAAGTCTTCCTAACAATATGATCAAGTTGCGAAAACAAAGTCAAACAACTTCTATCCCACTTAATTACGGCTTGGCTGTTTAAATTTTGGCTGCCTAAGAGCCTTCAATTCCCGTCCTCAATTACGCCATATTCGAGGATTTAGAGCTGATGATGCCCATGTCCATGACCATGCACATGCCAGTGCCTGGGCATCTTCCTCCGCCTAGGCTTCAAATTCATGACTCAATTATCCTCTTCCTCATCCCCACCCACATTGTGTCTCATTCTTTGGGGCCCTGTGTCCGGCTTAAGTCATAACCACTGATGTGAGAATGCACCGTTTCCATTTTTTCCTTTAAATCGGGAAAAACACACTCCTCTAGTCCTTCAAGTTGACATTTCCATCTAAGCCTAGAGTAAGGGATGATGTTCATGTGTGTGTATGTTGGTTGGTATTCCCCGTGGTCAAGCCTATCAACAGTCGCCCACCTTCAGACACAGATACGAAAATTACACACAATATCTACACACACACACACACACACACACATTGGAGACCTTTATCTAGCCCATCTATACATTTAGCATTTAGTTTTATATCCTAAATCTCAAAGGTGAACCCCCTGTGTAAATCTTTTGGCCAATTCCATGTCTGACTCTTGTTCCTGTAGTTGCCCTTTCTTGACTTCCTTTACCCCTCGATGATGTCTCTTCTTGTTGTTGAACCGTTTTCATGGGTCCAAACGTCCTCTTTTAGATGTTTTCATTGAATCTCCAAGTCTGCTCAGACAGTACCCTATTTCATTTAAGGTGATAAGGGGATCTTTATTTGAATTTCCCCCCCAATTATATCGGTAGACCCTACAGTGTCATTGAATTTCACATAGCATTCCTTTCCCAAAATGAATTTTCATTCAGGGTTGACTGCAGGTTCGACCTCGCTAGATCCTATCAGCGAAACTCGAAGCATGACAGTGTAGCATATAATCTCTACACATTAACCACTACTCCACATTGCCACGAGTGTTCTAGGATCATATGGCAGATTTGAATTTCGAGGAAGTCCAGGAATTTTCCCATATTACATTCTGCAATGGGATTTTGGATGAAGCAAAGTAGTATTTGCTATAGAAATCGACTACATTACTTACATTGTTGGTTCGACCTTATCTTCGCAACTTGGTAGGAGAGCCAGGGAGAAATTGTGGAACGTATCTAGTCCCGTGTCCTCTGCCATAATATTCGTGATTTCCAGCATTGGTCCATTGGCTGGTTACATTCCTCAATGGTCCAATGCTGAAAATCACGAACGCTATGGCAGAGGACACGGGACTAGGTACGTTTCACAAGGTCTCCCTGACGCTCCTACCAAGTTGCGAAAACAAGGTCGAACCAACACTGTAAAGCTAAAGAAGAGTGTGACCAATCAGAAGACCACAGTATCTTGGTCATCATATCTACATTACTTATGTTTCGTTTATAAGTAGGTTTTCGAGACAGATATCTCTTACCGTTCCATCCATCAGAATTTAGGGCAAAATTTGAAGTAGAATGCGCATAAACGCAAATATCGGGAATATGTTAAGCACTAGTGATTATGAATGCTTCGAATGACTTTTGCTGTATCTTCATTACCATCCACATAAGAATAAATCCAGCTACCTAAATAAAAATCCTTCAAACTATTAGTTTATTTAATTCATTCACTAAACCACCTTAAAGTTTATCTATTGGGTCTGCTAAAATATATATCAACCAATCCATTAACCTAGTGCTTATCAGCCCACCTCAAGTCCATCTCGTGTTTTGAGTACTGTTTTCACGTTCTCAGCGAATGCAAGTCCATCGCGCCAGAACTCGGCCAGCCGAGTCTCCATCATCCCGGCCAGCCGATTTACGGCCTTTGAGGTCTGACGTGCGGCGGCGACAAATGAAGGAATGGGACTGATCTCTCTGGTATCAGGAATTCGAATCTCTCCAGTCACTGTAGAGGTAACAGGCGGAGATGAGGGAGCCAGGAGGGCGGCAGCTGCAGAAGTAGCAACAGTTAATGGAGTGAAAGAGGAGCAAGAAACGGGGACGCTATTAGAAGCAGAAATAGAGCTAGCGGCTTTTGCAGAAGACGAACCTGATGGGGTAGGTAAAGAAGCAGTGGTGCTGTCTGTAGCAATGCTTTTGGAGAATGGGGACAAAGAAGAAGGTTGGGAGGAGGTTGCAGCAATGGTAGCAGTGCCAGTGACAGTAGAAATTGGCTCAAGAAGACTGGGTGGCCAAGCGGCTAAACAGGAAGCCAGTTCGGCGTAGTCGACTCCAAGAGAAGCAAGCTCGATAGCGATGCGTTCGGTAACACGAGACATGCGCCGAGCAAAAGAGACAAAGTTGCGCGTCTAAAATCAGCGATTTAGTCGATGTTGTGAAGAGAAGTTAGGATAGAAAGCAGCAAAA